CAAAAAGAAGAACTGCACAAAAACAAGGAAGTGGAAAATCAAAAGGAACAGTAGCCACAGAAGTGTAATGTCTTGGAAGCTGCAGGGAGACTCTTTACAAACACCATAACAGAGACTCAAACTAACTTTATAACCCCCTTGTTTGGTCAAAAACAAACAAACAAAATGCACACACGTACACACGCACGCACGCACACAGGCACAGGCAGGCACGCACGTACACACGCACGCACGCACACAGGCACATGCAGGCACACACACGCACGCACGCACACACGCACGCACACAGGCACATGCAGGCACACACGTACACACGCACGCACGCGCACACACACGCATGCACACACGCATACACACACGCGCGCACACACACACGCACGCACGCACGCACGCACGCACGCACGCACGCACGCACGCACGCACACAGGCACAGGCAGGCACGCACGTACACACGCACGCACACACACACGCACACAGAGCAAGAGGGCCAAAAAGTTTCATCCTGGCTAACCCACAGAGTAAATGAGACTGCGTCAAAAGGGCACCTTTTGAAAATTGCATGTCAAATCCTATGGAGAAAAATAGAAAGGACCCTAAACTCTGGCAAGACACGTGTCAAACCCTAAGGAGGCAGCCAGAATAAAAATGTGACGAGCATCTAGCAAAAGACAGAAAAACGAAGGGCACTTTTTAAAGTCCATCAGAAGCAAGGAGCCTGCCAAGCAACCACAGGGCTGATGAAGCAGCAGCTCAAACCTTTCCAGACTCCGGTACCTTCTTAGGAGTCGAGAGTTGTCTGCGTCCCCCTTGTTTTACCTCTCTTAACAATTTGCTCCCAACCTCAGACTTACACATACAAACGTACCCTAGAATCAAAGGACTGGAGGAGACCTCAAGAGATCGTCTCCGGCACTTCTGGCAGGACTAAGCGTTACCATTCTGAATCATTCCTGACGTGTGGCTCTAACCGGCTCTTTGATATCTCCAGGGATGGAGATTTCACAGCCTCCCTAGGCAATTTATCCCCGTGTTTAACCAACGGGACTGGAAGTTTTTGCTAAGGTCCAACCTAACCCTCCCTTGCTTAGGGTTGCCAGATGCTTTCATGAACAATCCCAAACATGGCAGGAAAAAAGTTGGTTGAGGAAAACATAAAAAAGGAGGCCCAAAGGTCACTGCGCCTTTAAGAATCCCCGTGCTCCTCGCTCCCCTCCAGACACGGCAGGGGAAGAACATCGCCGCCGGCCTTCCTTGTTTTACTGGACAGGGGCCAGAAATACCAGACTGTCCGGCTGAAAACCAGACACCTAGCAACCCGGCCCTTGCTGCAATCTAAGCCCATTGCTGCTTGTCCTGTCCTCAGAAGTGACAAAGAACAATTCTTCTTTCTCCTTGTAACAACCTTTTAGGTACTTGAAAGTTGTTATCACGTCCCCTCTGGCTGCTCTTTTCCAGCCTAAACAAACTCCGTTTTTTCACTCTTCCCTCCTAGCTCATGTTTTCTAGAGCCTTGATCATTTTTGTTGTTCTTCTCTGGACTCTTTCCAATCTGTCCACATCTTTCCTGAAATGTGGCGCCCAGAACGGTACACAATACTCCAGTCGAGGCCTAACCAGCGTGCAGTAGAGCGGCAGTCGTGTCTCGTGTCCTGCTAATACGGCCTAGAATGATTTTCACTTTTTTGCAACAATGTTCCAATGTTGAGTAATATTTAGCTTGTGGTCTGTCGTCACCCCACGCTTTCTGCAGCGCTGCTTCCTCGGCAGTCATTTCCCGTTGTGTACGTGACACTGATTGTTCCTTCCTATGCGGAGTAGTTTGCATTTGCCGTTATTGAATGTCATGCCGTTTACTCCGTCCATTTCTCCAGATCAGTTTGAATTTTGACCCTACCCTCCAAAGCACTTGCAACCCCGCCCAGCTTGGTAGCATCTGCAAACTTTATAAGCGTCCTCTCTATGTCATTAGCCAAATCACTGATGAAGATATGTCAACGTATCTCAAGCTGAGCTCGGGCACCGTCCTCACCGCGGGAGCTCAGCAGGAGAAACGCTCCATCGTCTGCCTTGCTCCCGTAGCCTCACCACCTCCCCTGCAGGGCAGACGCTGGTAGGCCCTGCTCCCAGCACTGTGCGGAGAACCGGCCCCTGGTCCAAGCACTCAGCTCACCCACAGCCTGGCCAGCATGCTCCTTCCTTCCCCCACTGCCTCTGGCTGGACCAGTGCCCTACCTATGCCAAGGAATGTAAGGCTTTTAGCAGAGAGGGCTGAAGCAGCTCAGACCCCGGAGTCTGTCAGAGCAGTCACTGGTGCTGTTACTGCAGCCTGTTTTCTGTTATAAACCACCTCAACCCAGCACCTGCTTATTATAACTGCTGGGTTGGTGTGTGACCTGCATGCACAATGGGGCTATGGTAACGGGACTGTGCAAAACGGTTCCCCCTCCCCTCTGAAAGCATCCACTCCGTGCGCAGCGGCAGTCAAAAAGGCAAATAGAATGTTAGGAATCATTAAAAAAGGGGTAAAGAATAAAACAGAACATACCTTATTGCCTCTATATAAAACCATGGTGCGCCCACAGCTTGAATACCGTGGACAGACGTGGTCATCACATCTCAGAAAAGATGTATTGGCATTAGAAAAGGTTCAGAAAGAGGCAACAAAAATGATGAGGGGTTTGGAACGGGTCCCATCTAAAGAGAGATTAAAAGGACGGGGACTTTTCAGCTTAGAAAAGAGGAGACTAAGGGGGGAAATGAGAGAGGTCTATAAAATCATGACTGGTGTGGAAGAAGTGAATAAGGAAAAGTTATTCCCACAATAGAAGAACTAGAACCATGCTCATGTTTCCACCACTGCACCACACAGCCCTTCTGCTCGGCCCTTGCCAGAGGATGCGACGAAGGCTAGAACTTTAACAGTGTTTAAAAAAAGAGCTAGATAGATTCATGGAGGTTAAGTCGATCAATGGCTGATGGCCAGGATGGGTAGGAATGGGGTCCCTGGCCTCTGTGTGTCTGGAGGTGGGAGACAGGGGAGGGATCACGTGAGGATTCCCTGTTGTGACCCCTCCTCTGGGGCATCTGGCATTGCCCACTGGCGGCCGACAGGACACTGGGCTGGATGGACTTTTGGCCGTTCTTATGTTCCCGGAATCTGATCCCCGGCATCTCTGAGACCCAGCCACTCAAGTCGCATGGCTCTTAACCCTTTAAGAGCCAGAGCGGCTTTGGGAGAAGAGCAGGAGTCCATCCTTCTCGTGCGAGATCAGCGTCACTGCCTGCTGCAAATCCTTCCCTCTCCGGGCGCTGGGAGCAGCTGAGTAACGGGGCAGGAGCAGGGCTCCAATCTGCCACACCCAGCAGCCCTCCACATTCAGCCTGGGCTGCTTTGCCTGTAGGTTGATCAGTAACAAGGAAGCAAAGAGTAAAGTGCCATGAGACCGCCCCCATGCGCCCCCTCTCGGGTGCACTGCCCCAAGCTCCACACACAGGTACCAGGTGCCCAGCTCTCATCCACTTCAGTGCGAGTTAGGCACCCAAATCCCAATGGCTGCCTATCTCGGTAAACGGCAGAGCCCTTGGAGATGTAAAGGGGCAATACACAGGACAGACAGGCACAATAGCCAGCGAAGGCATGGAGGGTTTGGAAAATAGTTGCTTGCTGTGCCCCCAAGAGCAGAATCAGCTCCCTTTTCTGTAGGTAGCACTGATGCCTTGTCTCCAAGCAGGCTGCATCCCCTGGGCAAAGTGAACAGGTGTAACCCGCGCTGGGGATGCAGTTGTACTGGCACAGTCGTGCTTATCCTGGTACAGGGTGTCGTGCTACGGGGAGAGGAATGAACTACAGTGTTGGAACTGAACGTTTTATTCCTTCTATATTTGTGTGTTAGGGTTAGTAATCTAGGAATGTAGTTGAATGATGTAATATTAAATTAAGCCCTTTTAGTTAAATGTCTATTTCTGTGTCCTAAAGTTTAGTGAGTTTAGTAAATGGGCCTAAGTAAAACAATAGTTTTGGTATTGTCTCGGTGTGAATGAGACGAAAGGGATGTGGAAGGCTAAGGCCTTAATTGTTTGACTTACAACGCCTCTTTGCTTTGCCCAATGCAGATACTGATGTTATGCTTCCTTGAGAAGTCCTTGTAAAAGATTGTTTGTGTGTGAAAGTGGCATGTATGCGCCTGCTCCCCCTCTGTGTTCGATCTAGTGGCCACTCGATTGATACAGACTCTGGACTGGTAACTATGACAGCAACTGGTGGGACTGTGCGTGCCTGGCATCTGTGTGTGTGAGGGATAATGTACAACTGTTGTATTCTCAATAAACGCGGCGTGCTGCCTTTTCCCCTCTAAAAGATCTCGGGTGCTTCGTTTAAGCAGATAACACAGCAGTGAGCACATTCATACCCACTCCGGCTGGGTCCACACGAGAGACCTGTATTGGTTAGAAACAATCTCCCCTCTGGTCAGATGCCACAGAAGTGGTGTTTGGCAGGTTTCTTGCTCCATCAAAGGTTGATAACAGTTCAGCTGTGTGTGTGTAGTGTGTGTGTGTGTAGGCTGATAGCAGTTCGGCTGTGTGTGTGTAGGTTGATAACAGTTTGGCTGTGTGTGTGTGGTGTGTGTGTAGGTTGATAGCAGTTCGGCTGTGTATGTGGTGTGTGTAGGTTGATAACAGTTCGGCTGTGTGTGTGTGGTGTGTGTGTGTAGATTGATAACAGTTATGTGTGTGTGTGGTGTGTGTGTAGGTTGATAACAGTTTGGCTGTGTGTGTGTGGTGTGTGTGTAGGTTGATAACAGTTTGGCTGTGTGTGTGTGGTGTGTGTGTAGGTTGATAACAGTTCGGCTGTGTGTGTGTATAGGTTGATAACAGTTCGGCTGTGTGTATGTGTGTGTGTGTGTGTGCGCACGCGCATGCTCCCTTAGTGTGCTGCCCTGGCTTTGCACAGCCAGTCTGCATAGAGAACCCTCAAGAACTCCAAAATCAGATAAGGCGCGAAGGCGGCAGGCCAGGTTTATTATCAAACGAAGCGCAGTAATAGTTGTCTACCGAACCACTAGGCATATATACCCCCGACAATGGACACAGCTCTCAGAGGTGGGATTTTCCACCACACCCTAGGCTGGACAAGAACATCCATCTTTGTACCTGGATACAGACAAGTTACGCATCACTCTGACATACCAGAATGCCACCCCCGCCGTACCAGGTGCCGCTCAAAACCTTATATGTGTTAGTTTCATCAAAATATTTCTAGCCACCATGCTGTCATCCTGACCCTATCCTGAACACAGGTTCGAGAGTTCCTGTTCTCTATGGGGAGTGTGTTGGCACTAAGATGTTCCCGAGCGACGTGTTTTGGTACCACCCTTCTGGACTGTGTTACATGACTTGGGCCTAGAACCGCCGAGGTCTGTGTGTTTCTGCACTATCAGCCCTGTTCTTGCCAGATTCTGTGAGCAGGGCCTGCCTCTTGCTCACAGCTCAGCTTTGCTTTATATTAGCAAAGTCCTGACGACTTTCATCGAGGCCTGAGGCACAGCAGGACTTGTGCTTTTGACCCTCTTCTTACCCTCAAGCAATCTAGTAACGCATGCCTGGACACAACCTGTGTGTGGATCTGGACCAAGCGAATGGGGCAGGAGGGGTCCAGCCACGCCCTCCTCCATGCGGCTGGGAAACAGAGCATGCAAGTGGCTTGTGGAGGCTACAGGTGAGTCTGCTTGAATGAGGAGCTTGGTCTCCTCTTCCCAGCTTGGCCGCTCTGCTCAGGGATCGGCAAGACCGCATGAAGGGGGAGTCTTGTAATGTCCGTGGGGCACAGTCGTGTTTCTGATCGCTCCTGGGCTTTAAAATAATGGCAACAACCTGTCTGGAACCTCAGATGTCTGCAGCCAGCCAGCGGGGCGGGGCAAAGCGCACAGATTCCCCGAGGGACCCGCCTGCCCTTGATGTCTCTGGCAATGTCGTCCGGAGGACCTGTCCCTCCTCGCCCAATAGGCTGAGTGGCAGAGGCCGCCGCCCGCCCCCCCGCCCCTGCAGGCAGGGCAATTCCCCAGCCTCTGCCCTGCTGCGCGAAGGGCCCTGCCCTCATGCCAGAGCCCAGCAGCTAACCCAGCCAGGCCCTAATTTGTGCCAGGCAAAGGGTCCCAGCCAAGCAGCTCAGCAGGAGGACGGAGACGGGAGCCATCGCGCCGGCCGTGCTGCACTGCAGCTCTGCAGCCAGCGCGTCCTTCAGCAGGGCGCCCCGGTGCCGAGGTGGAGCCGCACACCTGTAGTCCTGAGGCCAGTCAGGCACCAAGGGCCCCCTGCTCGCCAGGGCGGGGAGCTCGCAGGCCCCCGCACAGGAGCAGTTGTAGAGATTCCCACCTGCCCAGAGGCTCTGCAGGTGTCTCAGCGCCCGGAGCTCGCCTCGGGGGAGGCAGGAGATGAGGTTTCCATCCAGACTGAGGGCTTCTACGGCAGGATAGTTCTGGGGGGAGGGGACGGCCCGCAGCCTGTTGTTGGACAGGAAGAGCTTCTTCAGGAAGGGGAGCGCGTGGTCGAGGGCGTGGAGTTCATTGGAACTCACGTCTAATACTTCAAGGCTGGGGGGCAGAGGCCTGGGGACGTGCTCTAGGCCCGTGGCGGACAAGTTGAGGATGCGGAGGGATGGCTGCCACTCACAGGAGGAGGAGGGGACGGCCAGGAGGCCATTCTGGCTCAGGTCTAAGTGGCCGAGCTCCTCCAGCTGGTGCAGCGTTTCACACGTGGCGAGGAAGGAGCTCAGGTTGTTGTGGCGGAGTTTTAATACCTGGAGCTGTGGGAAAGCCCCCGGGCAAAACGAAGGCCCCATGCTCTGGTCCTGGAGGCGGTTTTCTGACACATCCAGGTAGCGTAAGGTCCTGAAGACCTTGCCCATGCTGCATGGAATGTAGGGGACCTGCGACTGCGTCACCGTCAGATCCCGCAGGCTCTCCAGCCAGCTGCTCAGGTAGGAGAAGTCTTGGCCTCTGTCGGCCAGGGAGCTGGAGGTCACCTTGTGGAAGCGTAAGGAGGAGACCGGCAGAATCACCCTGTCCATGGGGAGCCAGCTGGCTTTTCCCAGGAAAGTGCAGTTGTCAAACTGGAGCTCGGTGAGGCGCATGTAGGGCATGAACTTCATGACAGCGGCCACCAGAACCTCCGGCACGAGGAGATCTCCGAAGACAATCTTGGTCACGTTCAACATCTTCAGGATGCCGATCACCGATTCGTCCACCGAGATGGACGCAAAACCTGCAAATTGCTCCAAGTTTCCTCCTCGGAGCTCCAAGACAGAGGCAGAGAAGCACTGGAAGAGGTTTCCTAGCTTGTCCTGATCCAAAAGCGAGCAGGAGCAGTGCCTCTGGGGCTGATTGAAGGAGCAGGAGGCTGCGACCTCAGAGAGTTGCAATCCCATGAGCAGGACGACCGCAAACGCCTGGCTGAGTTGCATGGTGAATATCCTAGAAAAGAAAAGGACACGAGGAAAGCCCAGGCCTTTGCTGTTACAGAGCAGGGGCTGTCGGAAGCCAACGGTGGGGCAGGCTGGCCCGAGAGCCTTTGCCCCGCACAGTGCAAGCACCAGAACAAAGCTCGGGTGATTCGCAGCAGGCTGAGTCCAGCCCTGGGTGCCAAGGCGAGTGCCCCTGAGCGTTCCCCCTGCCCAGCAACCTCGGGGGGCATGAGCGGGCAGCGAGCGAGCCAGGCTCCAGAGACAGCCACCGCCTTGGACTCAGGGACTGAGCTGCCGTTTGCTGGCGCTGCTGGGCAGCCTCGAGCCAGTGCCGCTCACACGCCTGCGGGGTGTGGGTCATTGCCCTGCACGGTGGCACTTGGCCCGCCCACCGCGGGTTAACGAGTCTGCCGGTCGGCCTCCGCCAAGCGCCAGCTGGCGTGGAGCACTGTGGGAGAGGCTCATGCACTGAGCGCCCGAGGCCCAGCTGGGTCCCGTGTTCCGCCTGCTCCTACCGCTCCCCCAGGGCCGCTCGCGCACCGCTGCCGCCTCAGGCGCTGCCATGGCGGCGGATGGCGTCTATGGCTAGTCACGCTGCTCCCCAGTGACGGGCTGGAGCTGGGGTTTCACTCACCTGGAAGCCACTGGAGCTCGGCCGAGGATCAGCCCCTCGGTTTAGGAGCTGTCGCAGCCACGTCCACAGATCGGTCTGAGCCCCAAAGTTCAGGCCTGGCTCCGGCTTCGGATTTGCCCCGAGGCCAGAGGAGAAACTCGGCTCCATGGGGCCTGGTTACCGAGTCTCTTCAGGAGGATTCCCCTGGGGGGCTGGGTTTGGGATTTCTTCTCACCCCCCCCCCGTCAGTGTCTCACACCAGATAAAGCCTGTTCCTCTTCACAGGAAGAGCTGCTCCTCGCCCGGCCAGCAGTCCTGCAGCTGGGGGGGGAGGAGTCTGCCCACCCCCCACTCAACGTTCCCCCCAACAAAGGGAGCTGCTCTGTCCCACCCAGCCACCTATGTCCAAGGGCGCCTCAGTGCTCGAGTGCCGGTTTGTACCCCATGCACCCAGGGCTGAGCCACCCCAGGCTGGGGAGTCTCCTCCTAAGTGCCCTGCAAGCCCAGGGGCACAGCAGGGGAGACGCTAGAAAGGGCAAATCACACAGGAGAGAATATGGGCTCACAGTCAGAGCACAGAACTGCGGGTCAGTGGCTCCCTCCTTTGATTCAAAGCCCCGACCCTGGCTCACTGTGCAGCCTTCAGCAGGTTACGTCACCGCTCCATGCCTCAGTTTCCCTATCTCAGCCCGGGCTTTTAACAACTACCAGCCTCATGTGGATGTACTGGGGGATCATTCGGTGCTATCCAGGCAACACTGGGAATGTGTTCACTGTGGGGCATAGTTATTTTCTGTGCCCAGGTTAGGACAGTGGATGGGCAGTGCGAAAAGTGCCAGCGGCTAGAGGGTTAACAGCTGCGAAGCATGCCTTCCTTGTGTTGCAAAGGTGCATTTCTAGGTGCCCCGCATGCCTGGGCGCTGGTCACTTTACAGCAGCACTATCTGGGGTTGGGGTTAAAGGACCCACCTGCGGCGTTGGAAAGGCAGGCTCCTCCCGCCGGTGCAGGGACTCGATTCCGTTAGCTTTCGGGCGTCCGGGATGCAGATGTCAGTGGTTGTCTCTTGGGAGCAGCTCTCCTGTCCTGGCGGGTCCCTCCGTCCCCCCAGAGCGCTGCTCCCTGCCAAACAGCCTCTCAGCTTTTGCACAAGAGCTCTCTCCTGTTTGTTTCCTGAAGCAGAACTGCAGCTGGGAGACACACCACAGGGGCTGACTAATGGCTCAAGATATTTCACAATCCTGCCTGGAACCTGCCAGCCAGAATGCTGAGAAGCCAGCAGCGGGCCCGCCCAAGACACAGAAAGGGGGAGAACTGGGTTTCCTGTGCTCGGATTGCCCACAGAGCGATGGCACCATTGCTTTGATCGCCTTAGAGCCTGCTTTCCCTCTGTCCAAATGGCACTGCAGGGCCCTAGGTTTATCTGACTCCAGATCCAGTCTGCTCCGCTTGCACGTAAACAGGGAGTTTTTCTAAGTCCCGGCCCTGCAAACTCTACCACAGGGCAACAAGCGGGCTCATGTGTGCATCCCTGTCAACTGCCCATGAGCAGGGCCCACCAAAACTATCTCGCCCTGAATTACCTTGCCTGGGTCAGGGTCTCCTGGCGAGGGTGCACCCAGAGTGTGCTTGATTCTAAGGTCCTGCGGGGAGTCCCAAAATTTACACCACATAGGCTAGTGCAGTGGTAGAACAAGCACACCCCAGGGCTAAGTGATAACACCCCCACTGTGAATCTGTATCCAGACTCAGTATCCACTACTATACTGTATCAGAAGTGTCAGAGGACAACTGCATCCTATATATCCCTATGGCTGCGTCTAACCTGGCAAAAACTTGCCAGCTATCTACACCGGCCGCTTGATTTTGCGCAAAAGCACTGATGTGCTACTGTCCGAAATCAGTGCTTCTTGCGCAAATTCTTTGACGTTCCTGTTCGGGCAAAAGCTCTTTTCCGGAAATATTTTTGCGCAAGAGGACCAGTGTAGACAGGTAAAAACTGTTTTGCGCAAAACCGCGTCTAGAGTGGCACGGATGCTTTTCCGCAAAAAGTGCTTTTGTGGAGAAGTGTCCGTGCCAATCTAGACGCTCTTTTCCACAAATGCTTTTAACGGAAAAACTTTTCCATAAAAAGCATTTGCAGAAAATCATGCCAGTCTAGACGTAGCCACTGTGTATATATATATATATATATACATCCTCCTGGGGGAGGGATAGATAGATAGATAAGCAGTGACCTATCCTAAAGAGTGGAAGAATTGGGCCCACAATTAATTATAACAAAGCCCGGTAGAAGTAGTGTATATAGGTGCAGAACTGCATAGTCTGTAGCAGCTAATACTAGACGTCTACACTGGCACCCTTTTCCAGAAATGCTTAAAACGTTATAAGTATTACCGGAAAAAGCGCGTCTACATTGGCAGGATGCTTTTCCAGAAAAGCACTTTTTCCGGAAAAGCGTCTATGGCCAATGTAGATGCGCTTTTCCGGAAAAAAGCCCCGATCGTCATTTTCGCGATCGGGGCTTTTTTGTAGAAAAGACTACTGTGCTGTTTACCCTGGCCCTTTTCCGGAATAGTTTTTCCGGAAAAGGACTTTTACCCGAACGGGAGCAGCATAGTTTTTCCGGAAAAACACTGACAATTTTACAGTAGATCGTCAATGCTTTTCCGGAAAAGCAAGTGGCCAGTGTAGACAGTTGGCAAGTTATTCTGGAAAAGCGGCTGCTTTTCCGGAATAAGTGGCCCAGTGCAGACACAGCTGAGCAGATTAAACTCCTATCAGGTTAGACTCATTACTTCCCTATCATTCCAGGGAGTCAGCATAGGAGCAATATTGGGCTTGATCCTATTCTCACGGAAGTCAAAGGCAAACCCTCCGTTGATTTCAGTGGGGCAGAAATAGGATGTTTATGGGCCCATTGCTAACCACTGAAGCGGAGCCTGCAGAATGTGCACATGTGCACCTAGGATTCTGTTGTGGATAATTTCAGCAAGTCACAGACAGATCACAGGCAGTCACGAAAAATTAATGGAATCCCGTGACCTGTCCTTGACTTTTACTAAAAATATCCATGACACAAGGGGAGCCGGGGAAGCTGCAGGTGGCTCTAGGAGCCACCTACACTTGTGGAGGCTCAGAGCTGCAGGGTCCCCCTCCTCTGCTCTGGGGAGTTCCCCCTGCCATCCAGGGAAGTGAAGAGCTCTGGCAGTCCCCGTCTCCCATGGCACTGGAGAATGGCAGGGATCTCTCTTGCCATCTGCATTAGCTAGGAGCTCTGAAGATCCTCCTTGGAGCACACAGCAACCGGGAATGACAGGGGTCCCCTGCTGCCTGCGGAGTGGAGAACGCAGCAGATCCCCTTGGGCCAGAGATCAGCAGCAGTCCCTCCCTGCCACCTGCAGCAGCTGGGAGCTGCAGGGATCCCCTGCCACCCATGGAGGTGGGGAGCTGCAGTGAGTGGTGGGGAGCTGCACACAGTTCTGCACGTGTGGCCAAACAGGAGCCAGGCCTGACTAAAGGCTGAATAGACTCAGCAGCAATACAGCATATTCAGCAGGGGTAGCCTCTCTGCCATACAGGGAACTAATGTAATTGAATAACTCTCATAAGTGTAAAATATAATTGTGATGAGAACAATTACTGGCAAGTGCTAGAAATAATATGAAATACCCATAGCACCCTTTACACAGAGCAAACAGCCAGAGCCCTCCTCCATGATCACCAGCTGTCTGGGAGAATTTATTTGACCAAAGAGTTGCAAGGAGCGAGTCAAATCCCTCAGTTCCATAGTTAGGACACTACGAAATTCCCGGGCCATTTTATGATGTCAGCTATTTAACTCTGAAATGTCATTGTGTTGTAACTGTAGGGGGCTTGGCCCAAAAAGGAGTTATGGGGGGCTCACAAGGTAGTTGTAGGAGGAGGGTTGTGGTTAACCTGGCTGACGTGAGATCTTCAGTGTGACTATTGCTAGAGAGACTGTGTCTCTGGTTAACAGGAGATGTGGGGATGTTTGGCACCAGGTACAGGACAGCTCTTGAAATCTTGTTCCCAACTGATACACTTCACACACCCGAGGCCCCCAACCCTCCAGGAGCCCCTCTCTTGGGACCCAACCCTCAACTCCCTGGAGACTCCAGTCACTGATGCCCAGCACCCCAAAGCCTCTTGGGGACCCCCTCACTGACATTTTGGGTCTGCCGGGCTGAAGTGAAACACTATCTTTCAGTGAAAACCTCCCTTACTAACACATGCAAGGCGCTCAGTCCCCTTGGACGCCCTCTTCGCAGTCACTGACACCCACAGGACCTCCCCAGCCCTCCTGGGACCCCCTCACTGGCACACACACATCCCCAACTCCCTTATGACCCCCATCACTGGCACCCTCCTCACTGACACACACAGGGCTTCATCCCCCTCCAGAGCCTCCTGACACCACCCCCCCCCAGAATACCAGGGCTCCTGGAATGTCCCCACTCACACCCCGGAGCCCCTCAATCCCCTGGGTCTCCCCCACACCCTTGGAGCGCCTAAATCCCCTGGGCTCCCTTACCTACAACCAGGAACCCCTCAATCCCCTAGGGACCCCTTTACCTACCCCCCTGGAGCCCCTCAATAACCTGGGACACCCCACACCCCTGGAGCCCCTCAATCCCCTGGGACACCCCCACACCCTTGGAGCGCCTAAATCCCCTGGGCTCCCTTACCTACAACCAGGAACCCCTCAATCCCCTAGGGACCCCTTTACCTACCCCCCTGGAGCCCCTCAATCCCCTGGGACACCCCCACACCCTTGGAGCGCCTAAATCCCCTGGGCTCCCTTACCTACAACCAGGAACCCCTCAATCCCCTAGGGACCCCTTTACCTACCCCCCTGGAGCCCCTCAATCCCCTGGGACACCCCCACACCCTTGGAGCGCCTAAATCCCCTGGGCTCCCTTACCTACAACCAGGAACCCCTCAATCCCCTAGGGACCCCTTTACCTACCCCCCTGGAGCCCCTCAATAACCTGGGACACCCCACACCCCTGGAGCCCCTCAATCCCCTGGGACACCCCCACACCCTTGGAGCGCCTAAATCCCCTGGGCTCCCTTACCTACAACCAGGAACCCCTCAATCCCCTAGGGACCCCTTTACCTACACCCCTGGAGCCCCTCAATAACCTGGGACACCCCACACCCCTGGAGCCCCTCAATCCCCTGGGACACCCCCACACCCTTGGAGCGCCTAAATCCCCTGGGCTCCCTTACCTACAACCAGGAACCCCTCAATCCCCTAGGGACCCCTTTACCTACACCCCTGGAGCCCCTCAATAACCTGGGACACCCCACACCCCTGGAGCCCCTCAATCCCCTGGGACACCCCCACACCCTTGGAGCGCCTAAATCCCCTGGGCTCCCTTACCTACAACCAGGAACCCCTCAATCCCCTAGGGACCCCTTTACCTACACCCCTGGAGCCCCTCAATAACCTGGGACACCCCACACCCCTGGAGCCCCTCAATCCCCTGGGACACCCCCACACCCTTGGAGCGCCTAAATCCCCTGGGCTCCCTTACCTACAACCAGGAACCCCTCAATCCCCTAGGGACCCCTTTACCTACACCCCTGGAGCCCCTCAATAACCTGGGACACCCCACACCCCTGGAGCCCCTCAATCCCCTGGGACACCCCCACACCCTTGGAGCGCCTAAATCCCCTGGGCTCCCTTACCTACAACCAGGAACCCCTCAATCCCCTAGGGACCCCTTTACCTACACCCCTGGAGCCCCTCAATAACCTGGGACACCCCACACCCCTGGAGCCCCTCAATCCCCTGGGACACCCCCACACTGTGCTGGCTCCACCAGCGCCCCGCTCCCGCTCCCTGTCTCGGGGCCGAGGCGCCCGCCTCTTCTCACAGCCCCAAATGTTCCGCTCTTGGCCCTCGCCTCCTTCCTTTTCTGTCCTTGCAAGCTCAGCGTTGACCCGAGGTTACTCGGCTTTATTTCCTAGTAGACCCTTAATGAGAGCTCTTGACTTGAGCAGGGAAACCAGCGGCTCCATCTCAGCCTCCCTCACCCAGATGTCTAAAAGTCAGAACACGCTGCGGCTGCATCTTTAACCATTCCTCCATGTCCTCTGTTTTCCGTCTGGTCCAGAGCTTCCATTTGCCTCCAGGGTCATCCCTGAGCTTTGCTTTTCCCTCCTGTGCCTAGTGGCCTTCCCCAGCTCCACATCCCCGGCCATGTATTTCCACTGCCTGAGCTTCACCTCTGCTTCAACTCCTCACCCAGGCCTTTTCCGCCTTTGACTTGCAGCTTCCAAATCTATGGCCAGTGTAAGATCTCCATCTCCAAACTCCATTGCATGCACAGTATCCATCGATCTGTCATCAGTCTGTGTAAAATCACCACAGTTTGGCTATGTCTACACAGGCGGGTTATTGCGCAAGAATCCGCAGAGCGTCTACACTGCCCACCCGCTCTTGCGCAAGGAAATGTACAGTAAGGCGTGGTAAGAGACGGCTCCTTGCGCAAGGGCGATGCTCTTTTCTAACATGTGTAAGCCCTCTTGCGCTGGAGCTCTTGCACAGGGGGACGGTGTGGACGCTCAGCAGGGATTTCTTATTGCTAAAATGGCCATTGGAGCGTTCTTGCGCAAGAGAGCGTCCACATTGCTCTTGTGCAAAAGCACAGCTCGCACATGGCAGTGTGGACGTATTCTTGCACAAGAGTTCTTGTGCAATAAGCCGCCAGTGTAGACATAGCCCTAGTGTCTAGATGGTTTTCCTGTGACGTGCATATACAGTCACAAGAAGAGACACAGCAGGTTCTTTTCACCCCAAAAGAGAGCAATGGGCTGAAATTGCGTCTTGACCTGAAAAGCCCTGTTGTTGTCAGTAACCGGAGGCTGGTTTGTTTGCAGCTCTGAGGAAGGCCCGGAGGCAGCAGCAGCTGGTCAGTAAGAGACTTCTGCGGGAAGACAGCCTGGTGAACGGAGATGGGCAGGCTGGAGAGGAAATAGCAGCAGAACCTCTGTCTGACCAAGAGGTGAAGGGGGGGGGGGGGGGGTCTCCCACTGCCCCGGGCTCTGTTAATAATAATGACACGAAGTTTGTAGAGCTGGTTGGATTCCAAAGTGTTTTACAAGTGGCTCTAAAAACTCTACTGGCAGCACCTAGAGGCCAGGGTCAGTACCACAACCCTTCGGAAAAGTGCACTGGGATCTTGAATGACCATAAACCATCTTGCTGTGGTTTGTACCCTGGAGATCGGTTTGACATCTGCCCTGCTGTTTGTTTTCCACCAGCTTTTGCAGCTGCTGAGAGACGTCCAGAGGGGAACAGATGAGAGGAAGAAACTGTTGAGTCGCCTTCGACAGGGACTGCAGCACAAAGAGACGCAGCAGAAATTTGTCAGGTTAGCCAGTCTGGGCTTCCATGCTATGCCCAGCCCAAGGCATGGCTAGTCTGTGCTCCTAAAGGCTCAAGCTAGCAGTGAGCTCTCCGGTAGTGCCGCTACAAGGACATGGGTGTGGGCATTCACTTAGATGAGTGGGCCCATGTATTGTCTGGAGCAGGGGTTGCTGTGGCTGTTTCTGTGCCGCGGGCGATTTTACTATGGCTGGAAGTGTGGTCATGTATCTGCATTAGAAAGTGTCTCCATCGCGTTCTGTTTGGTGAATCCTCCTTTTCCCACTGAGAACAGAGCTTGTGTTGTGTGGTCAGTGCCCTAGCTAGCCTGGTCCGAATGCCTTGTGCTCTGCTGGGCTGTGGAGGAGCTGGGAGGGTCCCATGGGAGCAGAGAGGGAAGCTGGACAAGTAGCTGCTCTAGAATTTCAGCGGGAGGCTGAGAGCTTGCAGGACGTGACTCTACTCACCTTCAGGGGAGTAGATTGCCATGGATTCCGGGGAGGCTCTTCGCTGTGGGCTGTACTTTCCGGTCTGCGTGGTTGGCCTGAGACTTGTTCTGCACGTGTTCTTACAGGAAGAGCTGTCTGGCATCTCAGTTCCCTTCTGGCTGGTCTGGGGCAGCTTTGTTAGGCTCTCTGCCATGCCACAGAGCAGTGGCAAAGTGACTTCCGAAGGCAGCAAATCTGGCTGCTCAGAGAGAGGAAAGGAAAGAAGGAGAATTGTTGTAAAAGAAGGGGGCAAAGTCAGTATCCAAACTGGGCCAAACCGAGCCCTGCGTAACCCGGGCCCTTTGGAGCCACGTGGTCTGCAGAGCGGCCAGGCCAGGCCATGAACGGGGCAGGTTTTAGTGCCTGCTCCCTGAGGGTGCGTCTACACAGCAAAGTTATTTCGGAATAACGGCTGTTGTTCTGATATAACTATGCGAGCGCCTACACAGCAATACCGTTACTTCGAGATAATTGCAAAATAACGGACGGCTTGTCCCAACTTCCCTAGCCCTCATTCTGTGAAGGGTAACGCCGATTTCAAAGCAGTTATTTCGGAGTAGCGGCTGTGTAGAGGCTTCATTTCCGCTATTTCGAAATAGCCCCTCAGCAGGGCCATTCTACGTTATCCCTCCCGGGGCTCTAAGTGGAGATGGCCTGTCTCCATTGGGGAGCCGGCCTCGCACTCGTTTTGAGGCTCCCCTGCAGTGCAGACGTACCCTGAGACTCAGCCTGCCTTCCTGGCCCTTGGGCACCCTGGCGGGAGGAGTGTGTGTCTGTCTGGGGGAGGGGCTGGGGGCAGCAGGAAGAAGCAGAGTCCTGGTTTGCTCTTACAGGCTGGAGGGCAGCATGCGGGTCTTGACCGGGCTCTTCACCAGCAGCTTGGCCGATGTGCGGATGGAGGCCGCTCGCTGTCTGCACGAACTCTCCCACTCCAATGACCCTGCGGTGGCTGAGGCGTGTTTGCCAGCGACCTCCTACCTCCTGACCTATCTCTCAGGACACAGCGTAGAATTCACAGTAAGAGGCGGCCCGTGTTTCTCCGTTGTTCTTGCATCTGCTGGGTTGGACTTCGGAGATTGAGTGGCCAAAATGGGGGCTGTTGGCCCCATGCAGCCCCTAGGGGTCTCCAGAGAGCCCTGCTACTGCCCTCCCCTTCAGGACAGAACTACACCTAGTGCCCCTGTGCAGTGCTCCATCCAGGACCCGGCCTCCTGGCTGAAAGTAGAACCGGGCGTGGTGGGCCCGTGGGATGCCTCTCTACCGCGGACGAAGGAGAACTCTTGACACAATCTATTTAGACGTTAAAAAGGTTTTGACAAAGCCCTTCGGAAGAGGCTGCTAGCAAAGTTAAATAATGGGGGGTAAAGGCAAAGTATTGTCATGGATCAAAAATGGGCTGACAGGAAACACAGAGTAGGACTGAATGGTGGCTTTTCCTCGTGACGACGGCTGACGTCCGAGTGGCTCCGTGTTAGGCCGGGGGTGGTTTAATGTTGTTGCTGATGCCCTGGAAAGGGGGGTGAATAGTAAAGTTGCTAACTTTGCAAGTGACACTAAGCTATTGAGGTTAGGCAAGTCCAGATAAAACCGTGAGGGACTTAACTAAGTTAGGGGCTTGGCAACACATGAGCAGTGCAGCTAAAGCTGAAGTAAGGCACGTTGGAGGGCAAAGCGTATCCTCCTCACACATCTCACAGGGTCTAACTGAACTGTCAGCTCAGGAAAGGGGTAGACAGTACAATGAAGACAGCTGGTCAGTGTGTGGCTGCAGTGCAAAAAGCAAGCAGGGCCTTACAATGCAGAGCGAGTGGGCTAGAAAATAATCCAGAAAATAATCGGATGTCTTTATATAACTGGATGGCACATCCCTATGTGGTGCCTGGGTACAGAACTGGCCACCCCGTTTCAAAAAGTTTGTTGTAGAATTAGAAGGGGCTCAGAGAAGGGGGATGAGAATGATTCTGGGCTGGAAAAACCCGCCTTTGAACAGGGATTGGAAAGACTGGGATTGTTACCGTCAGGAGACAAGAGGGAACATCTATAAAAGAATGAATGTTGCAAAGAAGGGAGCTTGGGGCTTCTTTTCCCTGGCTCATGACACCAAAACAAAGAGACACTCAGGCTGTGTCTAGATTGGCAAGTTTTTCCGCAAAAGCAGCTGTATTGCAGAGACTGGCTACACTTTGCTCCAGCAAGCGTGTCCTTTGGGCGCCTGTGGTTGCTGGCGTGGCTCTCCGATGGACTAAGTTTGGGTGCCTTGTCTGTCTAGGTGGGACCCTCCTGCCTGTGCAGGGAAGCTGTGCTAGGTGAAGCGTCTCACTGGAGTTTCCAGTTAGCATGAGAGTCTGGCTCCGCTAGTCCGGGGGACACAGCTCCCCCACCGTTAGCGCAACTCAAGGGGGGTTTCTATCACTATTCAAGGGGGGTTGTGGCTCTTGTGGCAGTATCCCCGAGGCCAGTAGGGGGCGTGGGTGGGTTGGTGGGGCAGTGCTGGCGTGTCAGGAGGGAACTGCTCACCCGTGTGTGTTCCAGGAGCTGTGTGTGTACACGCTGGGGAACTTGGCAGTAGAGAGCGAGACGGTGAGGAAGCAGCTTTTACCTCAAGGCATCATTCCAGCCCTGGCCTCCTGTCTCCAGGTGAGTGTCGCTGGCCTGGCCTCGGCTCTTCCCACGGGCTGTGCCAAGAAGAGGGGGCGTTTCCCTGCCGCCGTCTCCTTGTGAGTGGCCCAGCGCCACGTCCTGCCCGCCGCAGGCACGTTTAGGAGCCCTCCGCAGGGAGGCCAGCCCAGGAGCAGGTGGGCATACGCCACGTGGCTGCAATTGGAATTCCCTTTTGACACTGGCTGATGTGGCTCTTTTGCTCTTCCCTGGCTAGATGTCTCTTGAGCACAAGAAATCCCGGGCCTGTCTGTTTGCGGGCTCTCTGGGGCTCTGTCTACACTCATGGCTTCTTGCGTGAGAAATATGCAAATGAGGCTAAGCGTGGAATATCGCCAAGTCTCATTTGCATACCTGATGAGCTGCCATTTTTGCAGAAGAGGCTCTTGTGCGAGAAGGAGCTGTCTACACGGCCCCTTCTGGTGCAAGAAAGCCCCTCTTGCGCAATGCCGCTACGCTGATTATTTTCAGGAATAACGGCGTTGCGCAGGAGGGGTTTTCTTGTGCAAGAAGGGGCCATGTAGACAGCTCCTTCTGGCGCAAGAGCCTCTTCTGCAAAAATGGCGGCTCATTAGGTATGCAAATGAGGCGTGGCGATATTCCATGCTTAGCCTCATTTGCATATTTATCGTGCAGGAAGCCGCGAGTACAGACATAGCCTGGGGGTCCTGAGACTCAGGGAAATGCTTGGCCATCACATGCACACATTTCACATTAGCTCGCTCGCTCAGGAGCTGCAGTGAGGCCAGGCTCAGCCTCTCTGCTTTGCACTGAGTTGTATCGCGTGGCCTGTGCCTGCCTCTGCCCCACCGATCCCGACTGGGATTGCTCTACCGGCTCAGCGCCACGCTCTCTGATTTCAGTCCCCTCACGTGGCCGTGCTGGAAGGCCTGGGCTACCTCCTGCCCCAGCTCCTGCATCGCTCGCTCAGGAGCTGCAGTGAGGCCAGGCTCAGCCTCTCTGCTTTGCACTGAGTTGTATCGCGTGGCCTGTGCCTGCCTCTGCCCCACCGATCCCGACTGGGATTGCTCTACCGGCTCAGCGCCACGCTCTCTGATTTCAGTCCCCTCACGTGGCCGTGCTGGAAGGCCTGGGCTACCTCCTGCCCCAGCTCCTGCAGGCCACGGAAGACCCTGCCACGATCCTACCGTGAGCACCCCCCCC